TATAGATACACATATCTATAAGATCCAGCTTCTGGTGAGTCCGTATCAGTATAACCTACACCAGGGGTGGGCAACTCCAGCTGTGCTTTAACCACAAATCCTATCATGCCTCTGCCACTGGGAGTCATGCTTGTAACTGACAGGCTTGCAATGCCTCATGAGACTTGTAGTTCCACAACAGCTGGAGGGTCGGAGTTGCCCAACCCAGACCTACACCATGAAGACAACAGAGCACACAGGTTAATAAAACATAACAACTTAGACTATGGAAATGTACTTCTAAATGCCCAGTGCTTTTAGCCCCATCTGCAGGGAATCTATCAGCCAGTCATCACACCATCCAGCAGTAGCCATATGGCTAGCTGAATCAGCTGTGTGGATCACCTAGTAAAAAGAGCCAAGGAGAACACGGCAATACAAGAAAAATATTAGTCATTATTTGCATTTCATGAAGGAAAGGTGGAATCTTTGTTTTTTTCCCATGTCTGGTCTACTGCCTTTCTTCTAGCGCTCTCTACATGACAAATTTTTCCATCTATATTTTTATTCGCATGTTTTTGTTTTTTTTACTCATTTCAATAGAATTCACGAACAATTGGGTGCCCTTAGGAGGCATTGACATGGGAGGAGGGACATCTTTTCCTCTTTGGAGAAAAGGTTTTTTCTAGACTTATTTATTTTAAGCAATACTTTTTTTTTTCCTTTTAAGACTCTTCATTAAGCTGCTGAGGTGGGCTCATTATGCAGCCGGATTAGCTGATCCTTGGTGCCACCTTGGAGGCCGTACCCGGATCCAACCAGACCTAGAATTGTTGGGCTAGCTTGTAATGTAATCCTCAGGCACTGGGCTTTGCTGTGGCTCTTCTTAGACACCTAGGGGCCAATTTATAAACCTTTAGCCCAGCTATCCGGTGGGTGAATGCCATTTGCATGACATCCCACCACTAGATAGGGCCGAGGTACATAGGAAATTCCTATGTGTTGTGTTGCTGTTCTGCTCAACCCTCATTTGGACTGCTTTGAGACATTCCATCTGTTCATCAATTCTACTGATCTTGTGTCCCTTGTTCAACGATTCTTGTGTGCACCATAAAATCCTTTTCTTGGAGTTCATCAGGGGACATATTTTCCACCACTTTTGTATTTTTGATCTGCTCATAGTACTGCTTATACCGCCACTCCTAAAGGTGGTGGTATAACCCAGTTGTTCCTGAATTCTACTGATCCTGTGTCCCTTGATGACCCCCAAGAAAAGGATTTTATGGTGAGTACAAGAATCCTGTTCTTTTTATGTATCCCTTATTAGGAGCATATTTATAAAGCCGTAAATGTGGCATGTGTATCTTCCTGGGTCAGGTGTTTGAAATTACAGGGAATGTCACCTTCATTGCTTCATGAATACACCCCTTATTGTTGCTTTGAAACCCTTGCTGCTGTGTTATGTCCAGTAGTGTGTGCATTATCTTAATAAAAGCTGGTAAGGATATTGAAGGCTTTATTTCACAAATACTGTATACATTTTTTTTGTGTTGGGTTTGATTGATAGTGTATATGAGCTAAAGCAAAAATTTCCCAGCACGCCCTCCAGCCAGCCTGCAAAAAAAACAAAAACACTGTCTTACTTAATTGGGTTAGAAACAGAGGTTTTAGTTGCACAACTTTTTCAAAAGGAGTAGAAGCCACACTGTTTCGTCAAGGCCCCTCGGTGTAGTGTGAGAGCCGATATATTGACGCATATATATAGCAAATGATGAATTGGGTGTAGGTTTGCCTAGAGGTAGCCCAACCTCCTTAAAGGTACGAGGACACACCAGAAGCCCCACACATCACAATGGCAACTGAAGCCCCCCAGGGTGTCCCCCCCCCACACCAAATCCAACAAGTGAAACAAATGTCAAACATACTCATGAATTTATAACCAGCTTTAAAGCAAGGTGCTTTTGTTTTGCTTTAGTACTGTGTAAAGCCTTTCCATGTGCACCTTGCTTTAAAGCTGGTTATGAATTGATGAGTGCATTTGACATTTGTTTTACTTGGTGTATATAATATTTCATACAGGGCATTTGTCAGTATTTTGGTGTGAACTATTACTTTAACCTTCTTTTAAACCAGAAATATGCTGATCTCCGTCTACTATGGCTGCACGGAATTGTCCCAGATGACATCTGAAAGTAGTAATGCAACAGCGAGCAAAATGCCAAAGGTTGCTCGTCCCTGCTTTAATTGCTGTGTGCACTTAGTAATTGTTCACCGGAAGGTACAATACAAAGCTGTAAATGTTGGATTGGACTTTGAAAACATAATTTATGATGTTAAGATGAGTTTCTTACAAATTGATAACTGTAAAATGTGTTATGCTGTTGGCTAGAAGGAAATTGTGCCTTATGTGTCATCTGTAAAGGGCAAGGGTTAAATGTTAATTTCCGATGGCTTGTTACTCTACGTATAGTGGCAGACTTCATGGCTGTTCCATGCTGGGGTTCTTGTTTCTGGGGGATTGTGGAAAACAACTGTATCTGTTCCTCTAGGTAGGTGGCTTTACCACTGATTTTCTATATCCTGATTCCTTTCTGTTACTGTTGTTCTTCCTGAAAAGATATCAGATTGTATAATGAGTGATGTGTGATTATGATCCTCTTTCTCTCGGTGTTGAAAAATGATTCTAGGTCTTTATACTTATTTTCTGGTAGTGCAGATTACATTTATTATCTTTAGGTAAAGTCTGTCTTGGAATAATGTGCTCTTTGACGATGAGGCAAAGCAGAAATTCTCAAACCATTTTGCGTGCTCTTGCTATGTACATATTACCACCTCCTAATAGCAGCAAAGAGGGAAGCAGCCCTCTTTCCACCAGCTATAGTTGCAAATGATATACGATTACTATCACTGTAATAACTGTGTTGGATGGGGCTCCTTGCTCCTTACTGAATAAGCTTAAAAGCTTACACAGTTTGCTTTTGTTACATATTTAATCTATCGGTTAAAAAAAAAAATAAAGCAAAAAATATCTACAACTTTGTAGAGTGAGGGTCTACAGGACATGATACAATTGGAATGAATTGCTGAGGTGGACATGTCACATAGTTAATTTAGTTTTGGTAGATTATTGTTTATATGGCAGGTCATATATGAAAGAAATTCTCAGATTAGATCTGAACCCGACCACTAAAATGTTCATTCAGTTTTAAAAGTAGTTAATAATATTATTATTATTATTATTATTATACAGGATTTATATAGTGCAGTGCTTTACAATATAAAGAAACAGTACAGTTACAAAACAATTCAAGTCAAGATGGCTAGGAGGACCCTGTCTGTGAAAGCTTACAATCCAAAATCTTTAAAAAAGACCTCCAGGAATTTTAAAAAACTTATCATTGCTTTGCACTGCAAGGGTTAAGTGATTGATTGTTTTGTCTAGGGGCTGAAATAAAGCAGATATACACTCACCAGCCACTTTATTAGGTTTACCTTGCTAGTACTGAGTTGGAGCCCCCTTTGCATTCAGAACTGCCTTAATTCTTCGTGGCATAGATACAACAAGGTGTTGGAAACATTCCTCAGAGTTATTGACATGATAGCATCATGGGCCCAAAGTGTGCCAAGAAAATATTCCCCACACCATTACACCACCACCACCACCACCACCAGCCTGAACCGTTAATACAAGGCAGGATGGATCCATGCTTTCATGTTTACGCCAAATTCTGACCCTACCATCTGAATGTCGCAACTGAAATCGAGACTCATTAGACCAGGCAATGTTTTTCCAATCTTCTCTTGTCCGATTTTGGTGAGCCTGTGCGAATTGTAGCCTCCATTTCCTGTTCTTAGCTGACAGGAGTGGCACCCGGTGTGGTCTTCTGCTGCTGTAGCCTATCTGCTTCAAGGTTCAAGCTGTTGTGCATTCAGAGATTGTATTCTGCATACCTTGGTTGTAATGAGTGGTTATTTGAGTTACTGTTGCCTTTCTATCATCTCGAAGCAGTCTGCCCATTCTCCTCTGACTTCTGCCATCAACAATGCATTTCCGTCCACACAACTGCTGCTCACTGGATATTTTCTCTTTTTCGGACCATTCTCTGTAAACCCGAGAGATGGTTCTAGGGAAAATCCCAGTAGATTAGCAGTTTTTGAAATACTCAGACCATCCCGCTGGCACCAACCACCAACAAGCATGCCACGTTCAAAGTCACTGAAATCCCCTTTCTTCCCCATTCTGATGCTCGGTTTGAACTTCAGCAAGTCGTCTTCACCACGTCTAGATGCCTAAATGCATTTAGTAGCTGCCATGTGATTGGCTGATTAGCAATTTGTGTTACCAAGCAATTGAACAGGTGTACCTAATAAAGTGGCCGTGAGTGTATACCCGATCCTTGGTGCTGCTGAACTGTTCTCTGCAGCCTCTTCTTCCCTGGGCTTCGGTGGTCTTCTAAGGACTCCTAATGCAGGTCCTTTAACTTCCATTCGACATGTTCCTTTGCGGCCGCCCCAAAAATCTTCAGAATTTTGGACAGGAATGCGTGGCGGAGACACACCGGTAAGTCGTAACCACTTTGATAACTTTTTTTAAATCATGTTCTTGCATATGTCTACTGCTTGCTAGCAGTAGATTTGTGCAAAAAAAAACAAAGGTTTAATTCTTCTTTAACCTGGAATAGCATGCGGCTTAGAAAGTCAGAATGAAGCCAAAGCACCTGATCTGCATTCATTTCAAGGTCAGGTCTTCAAAAAGTATTGAAGCCATTGATTATTTGGCAGCATTGGCAGCATCTATATTCTCTCATTACAGGTTTACTTTAAGGCTTAGGGTGACATAAATGCAGTTTTTAAATACCACTGAAATGACCAATGTTTTCTTTCTATAAATGTTATAAAATGTTTTCAGTTTTCACCAGTTAAATATTTATATAAGTTTTTAAATATATATATAAATATATATATTACATACACATATGCATATATTGATATTCTGTCAATGTTTCCTCTTGTTTAGGGGCCATCTAAACAGTATTAATCCATTCCTGAAAGAGCAGCTGCTCCATGATGAGTGATAACCATGGGGGGCCGTTTATGATATGTACGAATGAAGAGGCAGTAAATGGGAATCTTGCCTTGGATGCAGTTCAGTCAGACAAAGTCCTCACTATTTTGGTGAGCATGGTTCCCTTAGTGTGTCACAAGGGCCAGGAAGACAGACTGAAGAAAGTCAATGGATTGTCGCCCACTGCACATGGCTTTAACATCCGAGCGGATCAGCACTTGGAATACCACCACTTCTCTGAGCCGGGCTACCTTGGAAATGGTCCACACTGCTCAAAAACATGCAGTACGAGTTATGACTGTGACAGTTATGATTACTGTGATGGGAGGGAAGTATCTGAAACAGATGCCATGCTGCAGGACAGTCGGACACCTGGGGATGAGGATACTGATGCCCTGCTGGAGGGCAGAAAAAAGGTGCCAAAAGAATCAAGCTTTGCCATGGGACTCCAAATACTTGTGCCATTCTTGTTAGCAGGGTTTGGAACTGTGTCTGCCGGAATGGTTCTGGACATTGTACAGGTCTGTTTTGATATTTTTTATATTTACTGACCAATGTTTCTCATGTTTTTTATTTAGTTAGGTATGGAACAGTGTACAAAATTCAGCAATCCATAGCATTCAGAATTTGTCTTCAAAGTGAACCTGTGCCTAGATCATGCACACTAAAGTATTTACATATACTGAAAAAGCAGTAAAAGCACTTTAAAACCATTCCTCATTGAGTTCTGTACATATAAGCATTGGGGAAAAAACGTATTTTTAGTTTGCCGCGCTTCCCATTGAGTTCAGTGGGGCCTGCACGCACAACAAATTCTGCAAAGAAGCTCATGTAGCAGATTTTGTGACATGCGTTCCACGTTTGCGTGCATTTTCAGGAGCAAAAGTGCATGCCTTCCTGGCCACATTTGGGGTTCCATTAGAAATTAATGGCAACGCAATCGCGTTGTGCATTTTGTCGTGTTTCCGTGAACGCGTGTCAAACGTGGTCATGGAATGCATAACAGTGACTGCATGCTTAATGTCTATACTCTGGACACAGCTGCACTTTAACTCAGTTCACTAAACTGAAATCTGTTGGCTATAGGTTACTGTATATCATCAGCCATGTTCTTTGCATATCTTTCCAAACATACTCTTCTGAGTTAGTAGGGTTCACTGCCAGGTCCCGAATCTCCATAGCCGCTGTAGCTTAGCTTGGTCTAGAACGCACCCCCTGCTTGTTGACTAGACAATAAGGGAACAGCCACAGATTGACGAGCTCATCCATCCGCTCATGGGCATGGCAGCAGAACATGATTGGCTTGGAGTTTGCCTCCCCCTCTCCCAGTCTACTTGTGACTGTACTGTGCATTCTAGGAAGCTGATATAAAGACAAATTTTAATATTTAAAGTAGGGATGCACCGATACTAGTATTGGTATCGGTGCCGAGTATTTGGGCGAGCACTCGTACTCTCCTATATGCTCTGATGCCTAGCCCGATAATTGAGGTTCCGGTATCGGCAAGCCGGGCAGCTAGTCATTACACGGCAGCGAGTCATTACACGCTGCCTGGCTTTCTGATTGGCCGGGTAGCCGGCTCCATGCTTCCTCGCCACTTGTGACGAGGGAGCATGAAGCCTGCTTCCCAGCCAATCAGGAAGCCGGGCAGCGTGTCATATCACGCCCCCCGTTTCTGATTGGCCAGAAAGTCAATTTAAAGGAGAACTATGGGGTCAGTGCTTTTCGCCATAGTTCTCCTAAGGGTAACGGGAGGACACAAGCTAGAGTCCTCCCGTCACCCAAAGCTCAGTATACCGCGAGCTACAGCTTGCGGTATACTGAGACGCCGCAGCCGGAACGGATCCCGACAATTCTGTCTGGATCCACCCAGCTGCGTGAGTGACAGCTGGCTCTGCCTATCTAGAGTCAGAGCCAGCTGTACCCGCCCCCTCCCCGTCCGTTCCGCCAGTCAGCGTTGACCCTTATCTTTGTATAAAGCTTTGACAATTGAGCCCATAGTGTTAATATAGAATACAGAAGCCACAGTGTTATATATGCATATATATTTTGGAAGTAGGAAAGTTGAAGAAGAATGCTACTGACCATTGTTTACATGTACACAAACCAACTAAAAGTCCAGCAGAACCCAAAGGTGGTTCTATCCATTATGTACAGCCAACAACCAACCAGATGCTGCTTTTTATTTTTGGTTGTTTAACAACACTGAAAATGTTTTGTTCTTTAACCAGTTGACATCCGCGGTGTTAAACCCCCTTCCCATCCAGGCCATTTTTCAGTATTCAGCGCTGCGGTAAGTTGTTTATGTCAAATAGTAAACTTCTAATTTAATATTTTTAATTTCAGATTTGAAACCAATTCTGTTACATTTGAACCTTTCATGAGATGAAAATGGGGGCTACCAGTCCTTTTAAAAATGCTTGTTGTCTGGCTGTCATGCTGTTCCAATGAGTTCAGTTCTTCCTGGGTTGTTGAAGCAGATTAGTAGTTCTGATTTCAGCGTAGACACCCAGACAGTTAGCATTGCTGGATGGAGGTCATTAATGGCAGTCCTCGCGTTTCTCTTATGACATATTCTCTTTATACCGTACATAAATGTTAGTTGTATGATCCAATGGCCTGGACGGACTCTCAGAATTTTTCTTTTATGTTTTATCAATTTGCAAATATGTATTCCGAACATGTTCTCTCACATAAGTCCTTTTCATCTGAAGGAATACTTACTGGGGGGAAATATTTCAGCCTCTGTCTACACACATAAATTCAGTGAAGGATGGCAATACACGTGTGATGCAGCCACTGAACGATCTTTATAAAGAAAGATCCTGATACCTATATACACATTCACAGCAGGCAATCATAAATGCTTGTGTCTATGGGGAGATGAGGGGAGACTGTAGCATCCCAGCCACTGACCAGTCTTAGGAAAAGAGTGTGGGTAATGTCAATTGGCAAAATAAATCTAATTGAAGCCAACCTGGTAAATCAGGTAGGGTAGCACAAGTGGATTCAACGCTGAAGTCCCCAAAGTGTGGCTCCTGGGCTAGATGTGGCCCTTTTTTTGCCTTTAACTGGCCCATAGGGCACTACTCTTCCCACTGACATCAATGATGGGATACGATTCCTTCTATTGATACCAATAATGGGGTACAATTTATCCCACTGACACCAGTGCTGGGGCACTGATAGGGTACTATTCTTTCTGCTGATACCAACATTGATTATTACCACTGACCTGACACCAGGACATTTTCTACTCTCACTGGCCATGGTCCAGTGCCCATCAAGTCTGAAGCATCATGAACTGGATTAAAAAAAAAAAAAAAAAGTTTTAGCACCACTGATCTAAGGTGTAGAAACTCGTAAGCAAAAAAGCAACATGTTTATTAAAGAAGCAAAGTGTTTTTCTAGCTTGGAATTTCCAGCCGCTTTTTTTGGCATTATTTAGCCTTAGGTGCTGGTGATGGTCTCAGGTTTCTAAAGTCAGTGCTTTTTTAAAACTTGGCTAACTGCCTCCTGAATATAAAACACTGCCACTAGCAATCGGAAGCACATACTGTAGATGTAGCGTGCAAATACCTTAATGTATACCTTAAGCCACATTAATAATAAAGTGACTCAGCTTTTCCATGACTCATTCTTTCAGCTGTCTTTTCTAAGCATTCATGAAAGGGTATTCTACTTATATCAGGAATGTATCCAATAGATGCTAATTGCTGATGATGCAGGATTCACGTTTTCTTGCTGCCACTCCCTGTGATGTAGCTCTCCACCTTTTTTTCTGGACAGTGATGGCCTGATAAAGCTGAGCCCAACATTTCACAGATTACAGTCATTCAGCGACCAATTTCCTTCTGCGATTCAAGAAAATGGAGAGCTGCTAATCAACAAAAGCAAATAACTTTCATTGCTGCTGATAGCTGTTGGTTTGCCAGATTTTACTACCCGGTAATTATTAACTAGTGACTTGCAGCTTTGGAACCTCTTCTGCCATAGGGTGGCGCTCAGTTTAGGCAAAGCAGAACAGGCTGGCCACAAAGCTGCAGATAACCATAGTAAATGGTTTCCGGATGGTTAATATATCATTACAGCTTTTAAAGTGTTTTGCTGTTTTTGCAATTTCGATGTAAAAACAAACAAACTAGTTTTAAAGCAGAACTCCGCAGTACTTATCTTCCCTCTAGTGATGGCCAGCCTAGGATGATGTTACTCTGCGCATGCACATCGTAGTTAAAGAGAATCTTTACCCATATCTTTAAAATGACAACAACTACACCTTTAGAAATCTATAGTAATGGCAGTCTACAAACAGATATTTAGATATTTGCCGGATTTTTCTTTTTTGCATACCTTTATTTCTCTAATACTTCCCATTCTTCTGACAGTGGCCATTTTTACTAAGGACAGATGAGTCCACCTTTCTTTACTTCCGGGAACTCTGGCACATGTGACTAGGACATGTGACCATGCACATAATCTCAGTGGAGGAAAATGCCTTCCCCTGAGATCTCGTGAGATTTCAGATGAGATTTCCCAGCAATGCTCTGCTGATGTAACCTTCCCAGGATGCAATGATTGGGCCTGATTACATCATTTGTGCCCAAGTGGACCAGGAAGTGGGGAAAAATAATTATGTAAAACTATAGAAAAGGAAAAATACGTTTGTGTTAACTAATATAATATGAATTCATATCGGCATGCAGAGCTGCACACTGATGTGATTTTTAGTGAAAGGGGGTAAAGGCCCACCTTAATTCCTGCTATTCATTAAAGAGTTCCTCTTTAAAGGAATTTTTGTACATTCACTAAAAATGCTAACCAGGATCTGGCAGACATGGGCTAGACTATATCAGTACCTTTTTGCCACACATTGCCTATCTTTTCAATGTTCTGCCTGTTCCAGGCTGTCATATAGTGAATTATGGCCAGCCTGGGCCAGACCAACAGCAGGGACACGGATCGTAATAATAACCTGCAGTTTTAAGGCAGACATGTGGAACTACTCTCAGCCCTTTCTACCTTATCTACCTTTACTTCCTTACCAAAGCCCTGCCCCAGTCTAATATATATATATATATAACCATTGCTTAGGATACATGTGATCCTCCCCCTAGCCTAAAGCTCCTATATAGCCATTTGTGATAACTGCCAGGGAACAGAGCAGAGCCTGCTGGGCCCTTAGCAGATTTTGACTTTCAGAACATGTAAACTTGTAAGCAGTGCGAAAACGTGTGCGGAACGTGAATACAGGCAGTTTATGCAGCAAACCAGTTATGACCTAGTATGAGCAAAGTGCAGGTTCACATTAAACACGTGAACACATTTAACGAGTCAGGGATATTTGTAAAACTGAGGTCACCCGTTTTCTAGATAAGCTTTTGTTGTATCATTGTGCCGAGCAATCTGTATGCCAGACCAACCTCTCGGATGTCTTTTATCTGCAAAGATATACATTTAAAAATGGCCAGAAAACGTATTCTAGATAGAGAATGGCAGGATTAATTCTAATGTATGCCACCTATCTTAAAAGCAAAGAGGTGGCTCCTCAGTTCCTACACATCGGATTAGTTGACTCCTATTATGAATGGAGTGGGGTGCTGCACTAGGTACAAGATCGGGAAGTGAGCGAACACATACCGCTGTTCGTTCACTTCTCGATCCTGTCACGGCCGTGACAGGGGAGGGGCTGGATTCCCCCCTCCGCGCTCCGATCCACCAGCGCTGACTGGCGCAAAGGACGGGGGAGGGGGTGGGTACAGCTGGCTCTGCCTCTAGATAGGCAGAGCCAGCTGTCACTCATGCAGCTGGGCGGATCTCGACATCGATGTCGGGATCCGCTCCGGCTGCGGCGTCTCACATTTTAAAACGGAAAAAAGGACAAAGAAGACCCAGGACTGTTGAGCAGTTAGAATCCTATATCAGGCAAGAATGGGACAACATTCCTCTCCCAAAACTTCAGAAACTGGTCTCCTTAGTTCCCAGACATTTACAGAGTGTTGTTAAAAGAAGAGTGGATGCTACAACGTGGTAAACATGGCCCTGTCCCAACTTTTCTAAAAGATTTAGCTGCCTTCAATTTTAAAATGACATTATTTTTTTCTTTAAATGGTACATTTTCTCATTTTAAACATTTGATATGTTTTCTATTCTCTATTGCAAATAAAATACGGGTTTATGAGATTAGCAAATTATTGCATTCTGTTTTTTATGTAGATTTCACACAGCGTTCCAGCTTTTTTAGAATTGGCATTGTACATAAACCTGGAGACCCATATTGTTAAATAACAATTGAATACTAGGGTTTGCTATTACTTTTGAACTATGGTGTTCATTACTAATGCCAAGGCATGTGCTGTCCTGCCATCTTTTACCTGATGCTCTAATACTAGTATTGTAATAGCCATAGAAGGAAGTGATAAAAAAAATGGGGTACATATGATTTGTGTGTTGTTCAGTTTTAATTGTAACCTTAAAGTGACATTAAACCCTCAGATTTTCTAACATAAAACAATACTGTAATGTGTGCCTTACTGTAATCCATGGTTGTTTCCCTTCTCTTTGCTGCTCTTCCTTTCTTTCCTTTCCTTCCTTTCTTTGCTGCTCTTCCTTTTAAATCTGTATCTTTTCTCATGCTGGGGGAGAACTTCTGTTTTGCAGCAGACTGCCTTGTCTCTGGAATGGATACATGGTGTCTGTGTGCAGGTTCACAACCTGAGCCAGCACTACAGGAAGAGGCAGTCAGCTGCAAAGGGAAGTTCTCCCCCAGCATGAGAAGAGATACAGATTTAAAAGGAAGAGCAGCAAAGAGAAGGGAAACTACCATGGATTACAGTAAGGCACACATTACAGTATTGGTTTATGTTAAAAAATCTGAGGGTTTAATGTCACTTTAAGGGAGAACTATGAGGTGAGTGAAAATCACACAGCCTCATAGTTGGAGCCGACGTGACAATGAAACTGTCACACGTCGGCTCAATAGATCAGGAAGTGAGCAAACACATACCGTAGCTCGCTCACTTCTCGATCATCTCCCTGCAGAGACGGTCAGTCGCGGCTCCCCGCAGGGATTCCCCCTCCCCTCTCCAATCATCCAGCACAGACTGGTGGAACGGGTGGAAGAGGGGGCCGGTACAGCTGGCTCTGCCTCTAGATAGGCAGAGCCAGCTGTCACTCACGCAGCTGGGTGGATCTTGACAGTAATGTCGGGATCCATCCTGGCTGCAACGGTCTCAGTATACCGCGATCTGTAGCTCGCAATATACTTAGCTTTGGGTCACGGGAGGATGCTAGTATATGTCCTCCCGTGACCCTTAAGAGAACTATGGGGAAAAACACTTACCCCATAGTTCTCTTTTAAATAACACCATGAAAGCTACTCATCCAGTATCACTGATGTTTGTAATAATTTAGCGCATGCAATAATAAATAAAAATCCCATGTTACAGAAGATATAAGTGGTAGGTGAAATATGCCTTTTAGCAGTAGATGTAAGCATGATAGCAAAACAGATAAATGTGTCTAATTGTGTAATTCTTTTTGTCTTTTTCTTCAACAGCATTGGGAAGTGTTTAAAAATCTCACAGAAGTTTTTATCTTGGTTCCTGCACTGCTTGGTCTTAAAGGAAACCTGGAAATGACTCTAGCCTCTAGGCTCTCAACTGCAGTGAGTACATTTTCAGCTACGTTTGTTATAAAAAAATTTGTATTAGTCCTCAGTGTTCTTCCTATCTAAAACTATGATCAAATGGAAAATATTGGTCCATATCGAAGGAAACCAGTAGACACAAGTCAAAAGATAATGCTCCTAAAATGCAAGAGAAATCAAATAAAAAAGGCAACATTTAGTGTGTGTGTGTGTGTATTTCCTAGAAAGAACACTGTCTGGAGCTTCCCTAAGGAGCCATAATGGGGGTTATGGAGAAACTGGAGCTCACTCCAAAAATGACTCTGTCCATGAACAAGATGTGTTTGCTAGTTGACATTAAAGTGGAAACACAATGAGCATGTGATTAGAATCACATGTTTTCCAGAGAAAGGCTACCTACTGTAAATGCTTAGTTAGTGACCTGTATCAGGCCCAATGTGCCCCAAAGGGCTCATGATATTGGTGGGATAGAGAAAGTGCTTATAAACCCATGAGAATCAACCTGCTCAAGCGGTGATCTCCCACAGAACTCTCAATAAATATACATAATCAATCTTACAAAAGTACATAACTTTATTTCAACATAATAGATGTGCAGATACTGCAAACTACGCCACCATCATAAAAAATGTTTTCATTTTTTGTATGATGGCCGGGTAGTTTGTAATATCTGCACATCTATTATGTTGAAATAAAGTTATGTACTTTTGTAAGATTGATTATGTATATTTATTGAAAGTTCTGTGGGAGAAGGTACCGCCGCTTGAGCAGGTTGATTCTGATGGATTTCCTGCATTAGGCTCCATTCACACAGGAGAGGTTATCCGCACTTATTCGGCCGTACAAATACGCATGGAACCGCTCTGGACATAAAAAACCATGCACTTTAATGTGCATTGTTCAGACGTTTGTGGCGGCCACGCAGTATGATAGTGCAAAATAGGACAAGCGTGATATTACTACGTATTCCACACGTTCACGCTATAGTAAGACCCGCAAACAAGCTGAATCTGTGCAGTTGTAAAGATTTTAGCGTTTGTGTACTGTGAGGTCTTCCGCACGGAAAACCGTGCAGGAAACGCAAATGCTACATGTGAATGGAGCCTTGGGGTGGACAGCTCCCGCCGTTTATATTTTGTTATATATTTATTTTGGTGGATTGACTAGAGGGATTTTAGTGGATTGACGGCTAGAGAGATTGTCGGACTCCTTTAGACCTCCTATTAGTGTTGTATATGTTCAAAGTGCTTATAAAGTGGGGAAAGTTATGTTACTGTGTAGTTATCCCCAAAATGTAGCATCTGGTTATGAAAAAAGGACTTCTTTAGTATATCTCCTTTTGGCTGGGAAGCCCTTTGAGTATATGGTATGAAAATCAATACACTCCATTGTGCAGCGTTTGATAGGTCAGAAAAGACCTGAAGTGTCAATGTATTGAATAATAAAGTATGTGCTAATTTCTGGGGATGCACCGTTATATCGGCCGCCAAAACATATGGGGCGAAAATTGCACTTTTGGCAAAATGCCGAAAGTGCAATTTTCTGGCTGATATAGCCGTGCATTCATTTGTTCTCTTCTCCCTGCTTGTCACAGGCGGCCGAGTGCTGCGGGAGGAGAGCGCTGTTAGAGGCCGGCGTCTCTCGCATCGCTCAGCCTCCTGTTACAGATGGGGCGTCTCTCGCATCGCTCAGCCTCCAGTCACAGATGGGGAGAGTGGTGTGGGTGGAGACAGCCAGTGCTGTGACAGGAGTCTGAGCTCCACCCGCTCAACCTGTGACCGCGTGTCAGGAAGGAGAGACGAGTACAAACACTCAGCGATCAGTGACCGCTGAGCGTTTGTACATAATTGAGGACTGAGTATGTTTACTGTATCCTCAATTATGAATGAATGGGAAGTGATCTACATCATCTCCTTTTCATTCATAGTTGTAGTTATAGTAATCACACTATTTCCATAAGTTATAAACAGGAACACTCGTAGAGGATTCCTATTCATTTAGAACCGGAGCTGCAGAATAAGAGATTGAGGACACATAGTTCTCAATCTCTTTTTCTATTTTAAAAGGAAAATATCAGGGGTCTGTTTAGACCCCCAATATTTCCCTGAAGCCCCTAAAAGTAAAGTAAAAAATAAAAATATTTAATAAAAATGAATAAATACAAATAAAATATAAAAAAATAAAAAGTTTATAAAAAATCAAAATAAAATATTTTTTTAAATGTGAAAAAGTTTGAAAAAAAGACATTTTCGGTTTCAGTTTCGGCCTGACATTTTTTTTTTTCATTTCGGTTTCGTTCCATTTCGGTTCACTAATTTCATCAATGTATGTGAATGTTTTTTTTCTTGGTTGGTCAGCAATTGCTTTTCCAATTCAGAAACATTAATTTCATGGGTCCATTTTATTTCCCATGTGTGTTATTTTGTTCTCGGTATATTACTGATTTTTTTTTTCTTGCATATGTATGCAAAAATCTACACAAATGTTCCTTCCTCAACATGCTGCTAGGTTCTGATTGACTGAACCAAGCGTTAATTGTTGCATCCTGTTAATGGTCCTTGCCATTGGAGATGGAGATAAATGACATTAAATAAAATAGTACACATAGATGAGAAATCCGCATTTGCAATAGTTAAGTACTAGTTATAAAAAAAACAATTTCATATAAAGTAGCACTGATAGCACAATTGTTCAATATTTAGGTACATTGTAAAATATGTTGTGTAAAATAGCAGCTTAAAAACCCCTGTTATATTTATGGTTTTCTTTGCTGTCTATTTTTGACTCATATCATATGTTCATCAGCTAATTGTAAGATATTCCGAGAAGGCACAATACCCACTCCACTAGACTACATAATAAAGAATATTTTGGTCAAGTATAATGTGCTTAGAAGGACGAATCCTACAGATTTCAGGAGCTGTGTACAGCAAATTGTTGGCACAATAAAATTTGAAAGGGCTTTTAGTTTGATTTCAGCCTCTGATTCAGGGAAAGAAAACACATTTGGCTAAGGTCATGCTCATAAAGGCGGCATTGAGGATGGAAGTTCAGGGGCCTGCAATTTAATCATACCGCTACTTCTCCTTTGAAAACCCACTCAATGCTAACACAATGTTATGAAAGTGTAACGCGATCCTGACAAAATGGTGTTTGTGCAGTTTTTGTGGCAGAAAAATATCACAAAGAAAATCAATGCTAAAATAATTACTTTCAGGTAGCAAACGCGGGCAAACTCATTTCTCTTTGTAGAGATTATGCGTCCGATGTTACAGAAAAAAAATGTGTCTGCTCAGTACATTCCGAGCAAAAAAAATCTGAAATAACAGAACCCATTTTGTAGCTGATTGTAGATTGTAGAAATTACATAACAAAGGGTGCCTAATCAAATAATCAATAATATTGCACACAGCAGCAGTAAAGAAAGGGAGCCATTAACAATGCACCAGTAAAACAAACAAACAAAAGAGAATATCCTTCATTGTGTGTGCAGGAATAATCATTGTCGGTCTTTAAGACTGCCAGAACCATCATTCTTTCCTGATGGAAAAGAATAGTGTTAGAAGATGAATAGGAAACTGACCACGGCTTGTAGAAGGGCACAGAGTTACAGGTAGCTATGTGCATGACATTCTGGACAATGGCGATTGCAGAATTGCCATAGACCACCTGCGGCGTTGCTTAGACTAGATCTGTTTAAAGGAGAACTATGAGGTGAGTGCTTTTCACTCACCTCATAGTTCTAGCCGACCTGTGACAATGAGACTGTCACAGTTCGGCTCAGTAGATCGGGAAGTGAGCGAACACATACCGGCGTTTGCTCACTTCTCGATCCTGTCACGGCTCTCTGCCGTGACAGGGGAGTGGCTGGATTCCCCCCTCCCCGCTCCGATCCTCCAGCGCTGACTGGCGGAACAGACGGGGGAGGGGGTGGGGACAGCTGGCTCTGCATCTAGATAGGCAGAGCCAGTTGTCACTCACGCAGCTGGGCGGATCCAGACATAATTGTCTGGCAGATAAAAAATGATTACAGTTGCTTTAAATGAAGCCGGTATATGTACCTGTATTCAAGTTGATATTAGCCTCTTCTCAGGAGGACTCCTCCCTTCACATCAGAGTTCCCCCTTGAAAAACTGTATATCTGCTATAACTGCAAGTAGTAAATCGGATGTGCTGCATGCACACTTGCTGAAAATGAATGTGCTGACAGAAGGAGGGAGCAGAGTGATGAGCTTATAATTCTGTTGTTGCTTCTTCATTGTCCAGTCACAGGCTGTATTGCTTAACTGCAGTAGAGAAAAGTCAGGTCACCAACCTAACTGTGCTGTTTGGCTGGATTGTTTAAATATCAGGACTAGATGAATGAAATACAAATCCTTTGGCAGGTAAAACAGCTCCCATAAATACTATTCAGTGATGTACTTTCCTGCAGTTTACCTTTTAAAGCTGAACTCCAAACATAAAAACTTTTCACCTAAACATGTTCCTCAATAGCCACGGAGGGTATAAATCTACTTGTTGAGCACCAAATGCCTTTACTAACCCAGATAATACCTTGTGAGTGTAGCAGTGATATGATCACTGTGCTGTACATAACCTGTGCAGAGACTACGAACGTCTGCTTTGCTTTACTTCGTACGGCTTTGCATGCAGTGGGTCATGGACTTAATAATTCGGAGTTCAAGTACATATTACATTTTGGTCAGTTATGTTCCCTGGCAACTCTGAATGTATAGTTTCCAGCTGACTCCAGTATCTACTAGCTGACCTCAGTGTAATTTGGATTGTACGCAGGTAGAGGGAAAAAAGACATGGTCATTGACATGTAAGTGACAAGAGAACTAGCATGTAATGTGTTTGCTTATATTGCTCTAGGCATTTCAGTAAAATGGCACTTGTATGTGTTTATTGCAGGTTAATGTTGGGAAGATGGATTCTCCTATTGAGAAGTGGAATCTGATCATTGGAAATCTGGCGTTAAAACAGGTATTTATTTATGATGTATTCTCCCCCCCCCCCCCCCCC